GCGATGTTTGCCTAAACAGTTAGCACAATAAACATCTGTACAAATCTCGGGAGGCTAAGGAATCATACTGAATTAGCCTGTCGTTTGTGTTTTGTGGTTTCAATTTTTTTCATCAAGGGGCTACTTGAAAGGATCATTTTGTCCTTCCAAGTAGCCCCCTTGTGGAGAAAACAACTAACTATATATGTTATTTGTTAATACTTTTTTGTGATCCTCCTCAGCATTATGAAAATGGAATCAGAAGGTTTGAAAGGTATGTTTTCACTAATAATGCTTGTAATGATTACCTTTTCAGAAAGGACTTTTTGCGTTGATGTTGGCTCGTGTCGACGAATTTGACACTCTGACGCCTCTTATTGTCACTCCAACCTCTTCACAACCCTCTAATCCTATTCCACCACTGACACGGGTAAGCACTCAGCTCCGCGTTCTTCACACTACTTTTTTTTACAAAAATCACTACCAGCTGACTGTCACTTTTAGCTTTAGAGACTTTGAAAAACTTTTGTGTTAGTTCCACACCCAGTAGTTCGTCATCGCATTCAAATCTGTCCTGCCCCCCCCTCCCCTCTCCCATACAAAGCACAATTACGAGGCCTAAATTCCTAAATTCAAAGCGCTTGAACAGATGTCAGGCTGTCTTAGAAGGCAATGTTCTTTCACCGTACGCTTCATAGAGCTGATTCTGGATCCAAAAATAAAAAGGAAAGCTGTATAGGGACAGCAAAAAGACTACTGCATCCACCGTACTTCTCAAAAGCTTCGAAACATCACTATATTTTCCTCTGTGAACAAGTAATGGCGGTATTTTAGCCTACACTGCCACGGATCACTTCGTCGGACAGTCCTCCACCTCCACGTCGATCGCACCATGGAAAGACACTTATTGTGCCTTTGAACGCTAGTCGATGTGAGCCATTTCATTTATTGTTATGCCGTTCTATCAGAGCCGAATCGAGAAAGAAAGCTAGTTTCCGAATTCCCCTGGTAGATGATCCAGGTCGCCTGCAGCATAGGGGAATGTAACGTTTCAGTGGGATTCGAATAATCGAAGGCAACAAGAGAAAACGTCATGTCTAAAATAAAACCCGTAACACCGCTGACATTGTACGAGTTTGCCTACGCTAAAAACAGTTTGTCCGTCTGATTGTTTCATGCCAGCAGGCATCTACTGCTACCCCCCGGTGGACACGCACGCAGCTAAATCTGCGAGTTATGTGAGAGACAGCATCAGTCGAGCTTTTCAAACTCATTCATTATAG